CCCCAAAACCCCAAAACCCCAAAACCCCAAAACCCCTAAAAATTTAAATTTTATTGAATTAACGGCTTATGGGTTGTTGACAACAATCATGCATGAAGGAGATGGATACCAATTTTGACTTGGCTTCTCGGCCAACACATGAAAAGGGATCTGGATATCCTGATGAACTTGAGGACTTACCCAAGGGTTCAACTTTAAAATCTCCAAAGTTGTCTAAACCTTCTGAAAGCTCAACAGATGTTTCTTTCGAAGATTATGAAATTGATCTTGAAAATGACAGTTCAGAGAGAGAAGAATACCCCCAAGAAGTTATGAAGGTACTAAAGAAGGCTGATGAGCAGGCACTTGAAAACCTCATGAAACTTGGCAAATTCAGAATAACTTCAAGTAAGTCTTTATAAACAATCTTTAGATTTGTGAAGCAGTAATGGAGAGAAGTATAAATCCTACTTTGGACAGCTCGATTCGAATGAGAAACGCAATGGCAGAGGAATCCAAGTTCTCAAAGATGGCAGTATTTATGAAGGAGAGTTTAAAAATGGCAAACACAATGGAATTGGAAGATATATCTCAGCTACAAACGTCTATTGTGGGCACTTCTATCATGGAAGAGCCACTGGAAAAGGAGTTCTACAAGGTAAATCTATCACTTATTAATCCTTATAGATCTTAAAGAGGATGCCAAATATAAGGGATACTTTAAAGAGATGAAACCTGATGGAAAATGCACTAAGATTCATTCAAATGGATCTAAATTCATCGGTGAATTTTCAAACGGAGTTATCTCTGGCTTCGGTAAATATGAGTGGAATGACGGAAGTTCCTACAGCGGACAATTTAAATTTGGTCTGAAAGAAGGTAAAGGAAAGGATATCGACAGCAAAGGCAATATTTATGATGGCCAGTTTAAGGAAAATAAATATCATGGCAAAGGCTTTTTAAGACTTAAGAATGGATGTACTTACAAAGGAAACTTTGTCAATGGCAAGAAGAGTGGTAAAGGAGTATGACAATGGCCAGATGGCAGGTTCTACGATGGGAAATGGGAGGATGATAAGTAAGGTTTGTAAATTTATTAATCTAGAATGGATGGAATAGGTGTCTTTAAAGATAAAATGGGTAAAGAGAAGAAAGCAAAATTTTCACAAGGAAAGATGATAGCTTTGCTTGAATAAATTAAATTTCTTCATAATTTTCAATTTCAAAGATTTGAAATGGGGTTTTGGGGTTTTGGGGTTTTGGGGTTTTGGGGTTTTGGGG